AGTTCGGAATTGTAAAATGGTTGATTCACCTTATCAAAGTTGCATTCACAATTACAGTAGCAGTTCTACGTATTGGCAGGTTATAAATGAGCTAAATGTGCCTCTAACACATAGCTTACTAGTACAGTTATGGAAACGACAATTATTAGAGGTAAACAAGAGGATAACTTCATGGTAACAGCATGTGACAGTATTAGCATGGATTTAGGAAGAACCACAATTGTTTAGCTTGCTATTCTTTTTTGACAAGCAACAGTGGCCAAGGATTTTTTTTAAATAACATGTTCAGGTTTCCTAAATGTTTTTAATAAAATTACTGAATAATTTAACACATATAAGTTATTGGAAAGTGTACAGTAAGATTGGATTAACATAGTTTTAACAGGCTCAGGAAATTTAAGGATATTAAGTTTGACCTGAATCTCTTAATGCCCTTGCAAAGTCAACCATTTTCTGTGTTCCATGTCACCTATACAATATAATTATTCTACCTCTTATCTTCTTGTTTTCAGATTGCATCGGTTTTAGCAAAACTGATTTTACATCATATTCACTCCTTGCATACTTCCATGGACTACTTCCAGCAATGATTTATATATTAACTGGTAATAATTAAAACCTGGACATGTAGAATTTATAAGTCAAAAACACTGATGTTTTAATGAAAGAGCCTCTTTCGTGTTTCTACTTGAAATTCCAAGATTTTGGAATATTGGCCTCTAGATGTACAATTCTCTGTATCACAGTTCTGCATTCAGGAACACACAATAAAAATAGCTAGTTGGCATTCTGAAACAAATGCTGATTTATGTCTAATTGTTAATCTATTTCATAATTCTAAAATATAAAACTAAGGTTCTGAATAATAATATGTTGCTTCCCAATAGCTCTTAATTCTATTTTTTTTTATTTTTGTTAGTTTGTATGTTCTCCCCATGTTTACATGGGTTTCCTCACACAATCCCCGTACTGGCAGGTTAACAGACTTTTGGGAAAACTGGCCGGCATGTGAGTGTGTGCATGTGTGCATGTCTGCTTTGCAATGGTGTTCTGTCCAGGGTGAGATCTAGCTCCCCTGCAAATACCACAAATGCCAGTGCCTTGCAAAATTTTAAAGTAAAGGTCTAAAGAAAAATGAAATACTGTATGTGATTGCATAAGTATTCATTTCCTGTGAACTCAATATTTGACACAGTTAGCAGCAATTACAGCTGCATGTTTTTGGTAGTGAAGGTCCCTTCTAACTTTACATTCCAGGTTTGCGCAACATTTGCCCATTGTACTTAATTGATAAATTTGCTCAAGCTCTCTCAAGTTGCTAGGGATTCACTTACCATATGTAAAGCAGTTTTTTATTCTTTCCACAAATTCTCAGCAATAATTTTAGTCAGAACTTTGACTGTGCCACTCAAGGACATTCGCTTTTTTATTCTTAGGCCACTTCACTGGCCTTGTACTTTGGATCATAGTCCAATTAAAAGATTAATTTTATTTCCAGTTTTATATCCTTAGCAGACTTGCTAGTATTTGCCTGTTCTTTGCTCTGTCCATTTTTCCTTCAATTCTAACAAGCTTTCCAGTCCCTGCTGAGAAGAAGCATCCACATACTGTAGCATGATAATGCAACCACCATGCTTGACTGTAGGTTAGCGTAGACACAGAGATGAGCTTTCAATTTGGTCTTTTCTGAATATAAAACAGTTTTCTTTATGTTTGTAGTATAACCTAAATGCTTTCTTCTAACCCCCTCCACAGGTTTGCCACCCTACCATACAAGTGTATGTGAATTGTTGATTCACGGACCTTTCCTCTCATCTCAGCAATTGAACTTTGCAGTTGTGTCTCTTATACAAAGAATGCATGGACATTTGTTGAAGTCACCAATGCAAAGAATGCATGTTAATAAATATAAATTGCTGCTTCAAACTGTCATGACTGCAAGGTTTAAAGCAACAAAATGTAAAAACTGTGCTAGGGTCTGAATACCTTCGCAAGACTCTGCATATATGATATTTATAATGAATTGAGATGTGACCGTATAACAGCACTCAGTGGTCGAGTTTGCTTCAACAGTAGACAATATTCTGGCACACGTACAGCAACCCAGAGCGGTCGGTTGCTTATTTATGTCTCTGGGTCTTTTTACTAAGGTCAGAAAGAGAAAATTATGGCCTTTGATTTATTTACCAGTCTAGAATGAAACCACTAGAGTACACAGCTGGTATTTAGCACCTTCCTCCTTCTCCGAACATTCCTCCTATTAATTCCCTCCTGTTATATATTACAATAATATAAACTCTGAGAGGATTGAAAGCTAACCAACACGGTACACTGAGTATGAAATTTTCACTCGGGTTAAAAAATTATACATATACTGTATAAAGGAATAATTTGCATCTATATCTGATCATTTCAACTTTTCATATTTCACTTTTCTTTCAACAGTCTCTAAGGTACAGTAATCTTGTGCTATATGAACGACAGCTATATGATTTCATTTATAGGTGATGTAGTAATTCCTACCTTTATTTCCATTTAACAAGCAGATCTTCACTCTTTCGAGCTAGGCTCTCATAAAGCATTGCCAAGATTCTTCTTTTCTCGCATCTTCACCGATAAGGCAATTACTTTTTATTTTTATTACATTTAAACTTTTTAATAATAAAGGCATGTCTATGCATTAAGAACAAATAGTACAGGATACTACCTGCATTTGTTAATAACTGCAACAATGTAACTAATGTACCGTAAAGGAGCAGTAATGTTATTGTTTTCCTACCTATTGTTTAAGCATTGGCTAATGACTTCAAGCACTGGAGACCCGAGAGGGGTTAGAAAAAGTCTGGCAGAAGACGAGGATCAGAGCAACAGAGGTTGTAAGGAGAGAGAGAAAAACTAAAGACAGGTCACAACAGAGTGGGTGAGACAGTGGTAGGAAATAACTATGATTATGAAATCAGATTCATGCAGCAACAGGGAGCTAGAGAAGGAATAGAGAAACGGCAAAAAAACAGCTCTCACTCAGTTATCAAAATGCATTTAGTCCCATAGCTCAGTCTCTTAATCGTGGCTTATCTTGTAGCATGAGGATTCTCACCTCCTTTTCTCAGACCAATGAAATTTACACTCCTTCCAGTTAGCATTATTTGATTTCCATCCCCCATTCAATACACTAAAACCACTGATAAACATATTAATACAAGCACAGATAAAAAGTGGGTGACAGAGTAATGTGGCAGTTAGCTCTGATGTCTCACATCTGTTGGGTCCTGGATTCAGTTTTGGATGATGTCTCACATCTGTTGGGTCCTGGATTCAGTTTTGGACTGAGGTGTATTATGAATAGAGTTTGGTTTTTGACAAGCTCCCATGCTCCAAAGCCATGCTGGAGAGGTTAATTTGTGTTTCTACATGATATGTAGGCATGCCTTGGGTCCTGTGTTTCTACAGTATAGCAGGCCGTTGCACTTAGCAAATAAAAGTGGCTTTCTGATAATTGATGTATGAATGCAATAAATCGAAGCAAAGCAACTTCATTATACAGTACATTCTTCTTAGAAATGTGACAACATTCTTCTTATTCTTGTTTGTTTTGTTACAGAACAGAAAATGTATATTCTACCCGCAGAGAAGGGTTTATCAATATTATTTAGTTTCTTAATAAAATATGGTTTATTTTTTATGGTCTGCGTGATGAATATAATAATAATAATAATAATAATAATAATAATAATAATAATAATAATAATTGCTTACACTTATATAGCGCTTTTTCTGGACATTCCACTCAAAGCGCTTTACAGGTAATGGGGACTCCCCTCCACCACCACCAGTGTGCAGCATCCACATGGATGATGCGACGGCAGCCAGTGCGCCAGAACGCTTACCACACATCAGCTATCAGTGGGGAGGAGAGCAGAGTAATGTAGCCAATTCATAGATAGGTCACTATGGGTCTTTGACACACTTTCTGGATAGAATCAGGAAGTAAATAAAATTTCATGATGCTTCAGATTTGGTAACTCCTGAGATCATGAGAAAAACAAATAATTGCTTGCCACACTTACATAATTGCAAGTAGATGTACATAATTGTACAGTAGATGCATAGTCTAAACCTAATTGTATAGTCATATATTTGTAATTGCATTTCAAAGTTAAGTAAATGATAGAAACACTTGTCTATTTAGAAACTGTAATCTTCTAAAGCTTCTACTGTGCATGAATGAATCCATGTTAAATGGAAATGTTAATTCCCAAACACATCCACCATAATTAACCCACACAGCCACTGGTCCGTTATCACATTCAGAGCTCTACTGTTTTTTTTCCCTTGTGATAAAGCAAGACTTCAATCACACTAAGCACATTTGGAAGCTCAAAAACTGTCAGTGTTAGGCTTTGCAAACACAACCCTAGATCCTAGCAGAGCTTGAGGGGTTGCACATCAGACCTTGGAAAGCCATATCACAAGGTCAGATTCTAGCAATGCACTGTAAATCCAATGCTGCAATCGATTCAAGGATGGATGTAATAAGAACTTGATGTGTGATTTTTTTTTTTACCTGATCTCATCTAGACAAGAGGTGCTCAAACAGTTAGGGCAGCTATTTATTTTAACAAATCTGCTTGTACCTAACTGAGACACAAAATCAGAGTATCATGGACTGCAAGTGAAACAGAAATGTCAGAAAATATCTACTGTAATGTCACAAGCTGCTTTCTTTTCCTGGATATTTGTGTAACTAAAAGCACTAGCCCCACATTGCAAAAAGGATATAATTAATCCAATTCACACCAGTACATAATAAATGATAACAGTTGTAACAAGCATATTCCCCTCACCTTGTCACCTTTATGAAAATGATTTTAAAACTGCCTAGTGCCATTATTGTAGGTTCCAAAAGTCTAAAAGTAAGTAAATTGAAATTAAGTAAATGGCTGACAGAGCATTTTTTACAATATTTGTTTCTGTAAAAAGACCAGAGAACAAAAAACTACCTTCAGAAATGGTCTGTAGAACTGTGGAAATATAGGTTGTTGTCTCGTCCTCGGGGTAGAGCCGTTTCCACTTCTGCCAGTCACTGAAAAACTGTTCCAGACCTTCAGACTCTGTTACCCCACAAAACAGCAGCACCATCTTGCTTGGAGGGTGCAGAACTTTCAGAAAAGTCTCCAGAACAATCGGGATATACAGATTTTCCAAGAACTGCATTGAGAGCAACAACAGAATGCACTTGCTCTTGTGAAAGTCATCCATTTCTGACTGTCCTAGAGGAGTGTTCTTTTCAACTTGTTTCAAAAAAACTGACTTCTTGGAAAACTTGCGCGATGAAATAAACACATTCTGGAGGTACTTAGCCCACTCTTCAGCTTCATCAGTGTGAACTATCAGCACTTCACAAGTGTCCATCTGAGCTGAGAAAAAAAAATGGAAACAAAATAAGACACAGAGCTTTTTTTTCCTGAAGTTAATAATTAGAGCATGTTGCTATCATCATCATTTACTTAGCTGACTCATTTATGCAAGGTGAATTATTCTCACAACAATGACTGACCTGTAAAAATTAGCTTTGTTAACAATATTAACATCCATAATTAAAAGTATTATAATACTTTCATAATGCTCATAAAATATGGTGAAGCAACTGAATGTAAAATAAGCATACCATCTACTATATACATCTGTAAAGTATTTTATTATATTTAACTGCATTTTGTATTGTCCTGAACCTACCCCATGTACTACAATGTAAACCTGCTATGGGAGCACAACATTAGTCAAACCAAGTCAGTAATTACTGTTAAGTCCCAATACTATTGACTACCTTGCAAAACCTGCTACCATATCTGATCAAAGTTATTCACACAATTTCATGGACAACCTTTACAAAGCAATTCATTTCTGAAAGGTAACCGATTACTGAAGAAATTCTCATTTAAGCAGTGATATATTAAGTTTTTTGATCCAATGAAATGAAAAGGGTTAATTGCTGAACAGTTAATTGCTCTAACTCTATCCTCTAGCTGTAAATCTTATGTTTATACAGGAAAAATGATTTTGATTCTGTGACCACCCACTAAATTTAAATAATCCAGTGATTTAAAAATGCATTTAAGTCACTTGAGCTTTGATTTCAGATCAACATTATTTCCTGATTCTTCTTCTTCCATGAAGTATGTACTGTACATCACCATTATTCCCATTAGTCAAAACTATTATTTTGTGATATTGTCAAAAACACATATTGTCAAAAAAAGCATATTAAATAAATTGTGCATTTACAAAAGTGTACACTTTCAATTAAATTACATACTGTATAATATTGACACTACACACAAGACAAAGAACCTTTACAAATATCTGTCATAAGCAAGGAAAACATAATAAATTAAAATGAATGCAAACTAACATGCATATAGTATCCAGAAAAACCTACTACTTTTATTAGCTTACTTTTGAGAAATTCCTTGAGAGTACACACAAGGAAAAATGTATATCTTGTATTTGAACACGTTAATTTCCATACAGGCTGTTAAAGCTCATGTTTTGAATGTCTCATTAATATGAAATTAATAGACATGTATCACTCCAAATTTTATACTTTTCAATACTAAAATAACTGCCCATTCAGTAAATGTTCATCATTTTACAATGTAGTCAGAATATCAAGTATTATTATTTATTATTTCATGTCTAAAATGTCCAAATTTATATCAAAACTTAATTCACTTCCTAATTGCAAGTTTTCCACTGTTCTTCATAAAAAGTTTCCAGAAACAAAGCCTAATGAAGCAACCAAAATACGTAGATTGGATCTGCAAATTTTTACTTAAATATGTTTAAGGTAAAACTATAGATTAATACAATTTTAAAAGACTGAATTTCTGAAAGCATGAAACTTCACAATATTTTAATTAACACGTAAACAGACCTGCATTCTGAACAGTTAGGAAAATGGAAGGAAAAATGACACAATCCAACATCACAACAAATACTAATAGTATTCATTCATTTGCTTTGTGATTTTTTTAAAATCTAAACACCTGGTTGTACTGTATGTTGTATAATAATTTTATGGATTGCAAAAGAATTTCAAGCATTTAGCATTTATGCATTTTAAATTACTGTATTATGGTACAGCCCCATAATAACAGTACAGTCCTGCTTTGAACCAGCATGTGTGCATGCAACATTTAAATATTAAATACTTTAAATAATAATTGTGTCAATTGTCCATTAACTAAGGTATTAAGTGCGTTAAGATATTTGCTGCTATATGTCTAAATTTAGAAATGTCTGAGTTAAAAAGACAGAAAGCTGACTTCAGATTATTAGTGTAATATGTCTATTAAAGGATCCATTAAAGAATAAGAAATATTAAGAAATGCTAAGAAAGATTATACAGTAGGATAACTGTAAGGATTTGTAAGGATAACTTAACACTAGTACCAAATCACAAACTGTCTGAATTCTCATTTCTGTTTGAGTTCTAAATGCTACAGCTAAGCTTAGTGTAAGTATAAAAATGGGACAGAATTTGACCCCTTAGGGACCTATAATAGTACATTTGTTACAGGTAATATGCCATTCTCTTTGAAGACATATGTTTCTTTACAATATTTGCTTCATAAAATCCAAACAACTGTTACTTTCAAAAGTCAACAATTCAAGCAGCTTGTAAACTGTCCCTTTTTTACAGTGTTTTTCTAGCATAGTCTTCAAATTGTTAAAGAAAAATAGCACATTTTATAAAACTCTTCAGTTTAGGATGAGAGATTATTTTTATAAGATGCTATTAATGAATTTTCCATTACATAAAATGAGAGTACAATACAGTATATAGGGTTTTCTTAAATTTAAAGAAGATGATAATATTGATTGTGCTTGTTCACAAAAACATAACACATTCAATCTCTAAATGTGCGTGGCACCTGCAAAGTATGTTTTACAGAACACTTCAATATTTCCTGTCTTTCTGTAACTACCACTTTTGTATTTACTTGGAAATTCAGATCCTCATTTCTGTTTTGCAGAGTGGACAACTTATTTTACTTAGAAATTATGGTTATGATTCCAGTTACATTTCAGTGACTCTAATGAAGTGCATGCAAGAAGCAGATCAGATAAGCTTCTTTTATTTATTCCTCTTTTCCAAAACAATGATGCTTACTGTATAGTATTACACTATAATGGAAATTCTAAGCACTGGTTCGCTGCAAATATACTGTACTTCAGAGTTTGCATATATGTTAGGTTCCGTATTCATTGGATATTAGAAAGGTTTAAACTTTTTACTGATGATAAAAAACAAAAAAAGAAAAGACGTCAACAAAATAGAGATACGTGCTTACAAATATATACAAACAATATCACAACTACTTACCTGAATGTGACATGTCGAAAAGACATAAAACATTCCTGGACTCCGAGCTGCTCAGCGGTTCAGCCTCCCTGTATTAACTGAGCGCTTCAGTGACCTTCTATAGCTTCGCCCCTACATGCAGTCCTGCCATGTTTCAGAAATGTATTTGCTTTTATATCTATGCAAATGAGTAAATTGGATGTAAAGTTGTTCACATCTGGCGGTCTCGATGCAGTCAATAAATGTTTACAAGTTTCATCTCACAAGTCGACTCTTCCCCTCCATCGCTCCGCAGAGAATAACAGTATCAACCAGTCACTTTTTCAGTTTCCTGATCTTACTGTGACCAAGCGTCACTTCCTAAAACTGTCATTAACTCCGAAGCTGAAGTGTTTGCACAATTGATTGTTTGACCTGTAGAGAAAAGCAAAGAAAGCACAACCTTGGTAACTAACGCAACATTCCAGAAATCAGGTGACTTATTGCGCTTATGTATTCTTAGCGCCGAATTAAAAAGCCATTTTAACAACTTTAATACACCTGTAAAGTCATTCCATATGTGGTTACGTACGCATCGACATCAGAAAACAAACATGTCTGCCGCAAATATTTCTTATTTCGATGTTTTAAGTAGAATGAAAATAATTGTGAAATAGTATTCACTGGGTCTGCCATTAACGCGGTCGCTTGAACTCAACTACCCAATATGACTCAAACAGCATGGACACAGTAAGGTACAGTACATGAATGCAATTTGATGAAAGACCTACTGTACAATTAGGGTTTCTACAAGAAGGACAACAAAAACTTTCATTAATTTAAAATGAGAAATTGTTTAAATATGAAAGAATACCATTACTTAACTATTACCATGTCATACGTTGCTTTCCCTGGAGCTTTTAGAACAGATAAAAGTGTTTCTAGGGTTCTGTAAGGTTAAGAAATAAGTTCTAGAGGCTTTGGTACACGACCTTGTCAACAATTATCGATTTATAAGTGTAAAGACACTGGTGATTAATAATAATTCACTTCCTAATGTGACATCTTTGAAAGTTTACATTTAAACTGCTTCTTCGCACCCGACGCGTAAAGTAGGACTAACAACAGAGCAGTCATGAGAACTTAAAAAACATTAACATGTACTACTGTACCTAACATCCTCGTGTTATCTAGAGGCATATAAAAAAACTTTGCAGAACTGAAGGAAATGTAACTGACACAGTTGTCACTGGACTTATATTCAGTGGAAACAAGACATTCAGATTAAATGGTCTGGGGAGATAGTCCTATACAGAAAAGTAATTACAGAACCAAAGCATCACAGGTTCTAACAAAACATCACGACTTCAAGATTCATTGGATAATACGTTTGCTGTTTTTTAACTAAATGTAAGGATAACACTTAATCATAATAATTTATCAGGGATAACATACATTTGCTTTTGAGCGTACCAAATGAAATGAAAACATTCAGAGCATATGCAGCCGTTCAAGTACTGTATATAAGCATTGCAATGCCAAGCTCGATCAAACTGTAAAAAACAGCAACTTTTCAATATCTTTAATGCGGAAGAGGCGAGTTTAACCTTTCGGATTTTTGAGGTTTTTTTCCATTCTTAATGTTTTGGTTCCCCGTTTCTGAGTTTCCGAACGTAAATTAGATAAAATAAAACAATTCGTGTTCTGCAAAATGCTGAGTTTCTCAAGTTTATATTTGCTGTTATATTCTTCTGAAGCATTTTTAATACGTCAGACAAGACGCTTTAGAATAAGAAGAACGGTCAGGACAAAACATCGGAGTACATTTTTTTAAAACTATTTGCAGAAAACATCATTTTAACGCACTGAAACACAACCACGTGCTGATTTTGACGCTCGCGGATAAGCTTTACCGGAGCTGAAAATTGTGCTGTTATTCTTAATATTAGTATAATCAATTGTTATTGCTAAAAGAAAACGCTTGTGGTGATTCGCTATAACAAGAGATTCAGGTCAACAGTATGCATTAATTTTTAGGTTCACAAAAGAGAAATAAAAGTACCTTTGTATCAGGTGTTTCCTGTTATGATAGGAGACATATGAGGAAGTTTCAAGGACTTGTTCAACCTGTTTTGTTATAGAGTGTGGTGTATTATACAGTATGTGCTGATTCTTTTACCACAAATGCTTTGTAGGTATCAATATTAAGGTTTGTTATTAAAATTGTGTCCAACCATATTATCATAATCATAGAAGTACTTTTATGAAGTACAATGAAATGGCAGTAGGTGTGTTCTAAAGTTGGACATAGGCCTGGTTTTAGCATCGCATTGCCAGAACACATAATTGATGAAGGTGATTCTTCTTACAGTCAATCAGAATCATCATACATTGTAGGACCACTGAAAAACTTTTTTTAAAAATAAGCATTTTAATTTTATGCAACATGGTAAAATGCTTATAAAAGTTAAACAATAAAGATTTAACAGAAGTGATTGAGAGGATATTGTATTGTAAAATATTTGTAACTTTTCATCTATCTATTTTCTTCCCACTTCTTTCAAAGCTCAACAAGCAACAGGCACACACATAGACACAGACATGCACACAATTGGGCTCACAGTAGGGCCAGTATTCCCAGAGACCAATTAACCAGTATGTTTTTGACTGTGGGGGGAAACCGAAGCACCTGGAAGAAACCTACACAAACACAGGGAGAACATACAAACACACAGATAGCACACAAGGTCCAGATTGAAGCGAGGGCCTCAGCACTGTGTGGCTATCAGCAATGATAACCACTGTACCACCTGTTTTTAACTTGACAATACTTGTCAATACATTGAATACTAAAATTCAATAACATACCACCAGAGTATTTCCTTTGCTTCATATGATGAGCTCATGTTCTACAAATTAAATATATATATATCCATTAATGGAAGTATGTGAGTTGTGTACAGGCACATGTAACACAAAACACATAAATAACAATGGTGATTTTTGTTGATGGAAAAAATGGATTTGATTGGACCAATTTTAATACATTTGAGGAATTAAATGCAAATGTCCAATATCAATGGCTTTTGTTTATTTGCTTATTAAAAAAAATCAATTTACCTGTGGAGTATTAATATATAGCAATATGTAATGAAGGCAATACAATATAATCAACATTTTTGTATTAATTTTGCAGCCAGTAAAGCATTTTAACACAATTAAAAAAACAGTCCTCTACTTTTTCATGTGATCTAAACCTATTTACTCATGAAAAATAATGAAGCAAAGAACTGAAACACAAAACATAAAAATGTTATATCAGTTTAGGTACAAGATTTTAAGCTTGATTTTTAAAGTTGATTTGAAGACTTATTTTTGTCCATGTTGTTTCATACTCAATAATTGTTAGAAAGAAAATATAGAAAGATGTATGAAACACTTGTCCAAGACCCATGATTACAAATGCTCTTCTGTAATTCTTGAGATTTAAGAAGATGGTAGTGTGTAATTAGAGCAGCACAGTCTCCTTTTGATTTTGTTAACTTGTGATCTATTAAATGTTTTTAACCGTTTCTAAAGATAGAAGCACCTGCTATTTTCTGATGTTGTGATAAAAGATATTGGCACTTCCCTTGCATTTTTAATATATTTATTACTATACTTAACATAGTGCCAAAAGGTTGTTTTACAAAACTTATCTGATTGTGGTTAAACTTTGTAGCATCTTTTTAACGCTTCTCAAATCGGGGTCAGGTTTAAGTAATTTCTTTTACACCACTCAGATAAAACCTAAAAGTGGGTTACCGGAATTCTGCAGCTGTAAAACTACATCATTTAAAAAAGATGCAGAAATATATTCCTAAAGATAAACATGGAGTAAAAACATCTGAATCCATGCAAACAAAAGGATACCATTTGGCACAGTAAGCTTCTTTGGTTTGCAATAGCTAATTGAGCTGTTGATTTTATCTGTTCAGTGAAAGAACTAGTTGGATAAAATAAAGATAGCAAAGGTTTAGACAACATAGTTGGGTAACTTTTTCCAGGCACCGACAACCACTTCTGTAAAAACTGTCTCCTATTCTCAATTTTAAATGCAGTTCCCCCTAGTTTACATTTTGTGTCCTCCGGTGTACATTTCACTGTTCATACTTTAGAAGTTTGTTGGGTGGACGGTCTCACTACCTTTGAGGATTTTGAATACTTGAACCATGTTCCATTGTAATATTCTCTGTTTGAAACAAAATTAATTTTTGTCATTTTAGCCTGTCAGAGTATAACATGTGGTAATGTACTGTACCTGAATGCTCTTCTGTGTTTTGATGCTAGAGTAGCTAAACGGAATGACGAATTCTACATGATCTCTTACTTGTACAGTTTTCATTTATACTTACAACAAAATAGATGTTATGGTTTTTACTATATGCTTGTAACACTCTGCACTAGTCTACATTAAATGTAATCTGCTAAATGTTTGCATAGTCTTGAATTCTTTCTAAATATTTTTGAATTTTTTTTACAGCTTATATTGCTGGCTAATCCTTCTATTTTGGTATCCTATGTGAATTTGACTAGTTTTCTAAGTATATCAGAATCTAAATCATAAGAAGAACAGTTGTCTAATTACAGATCCATATGTTACTTCACTGATTACATCATTCAAGTTTTGATATTCACCCGGGTCTTAACCCAAACATGTGTTGCTTTCAATGCCTACAGCTTGCAATTTAATAATTCATCTTTTATGACAAAACCTTTATTGAAAGCCCAATAAAGCCTTTATTGAAAATCTAAATGAATCTAATATCATAAACTCATTTTGTATCCATTACTGCCTCTGTTTGTTCAAAGAACTCTAGTTATACAAAACCCGCCTTTCTAAATCTGTTAACTCTCCCTAGAATCCTGTTGCCATACACATGATGCTCTACTTTATTTCTAAGTAGAATTTCATAATCTTAGATTTAATAGAAGATTTTTTATATTTATTTGGTGTAGTTTTGATATACTCTTTATGACTGGGTACTACATTATATGATAATATGTAAATGTTCATTTTCAAAGAACCCATTTTCTTACACCTACTTATATTCTCAGGCCATATATAAAATATGAAAAAACAAAATACCAAGTACAAGTATCTAAGCTAGAGAATGCAAGCTACTCAACATTTCAAAGTACAAGGTCTTCTAATGGGTCTTGATTACTGTACCTACCCTAGGGCTGAAATGGCCCTAATGCACCATCTAATGGACAGTCATAACATTACAGAATGTTTTAGATCTGTTTTTAAGCCAGTGATTTATGCCAGAAAAATACCAAAGAATTAGAACTGATCTGGGCTGCAAAGGAAGAAATACTGATCAAGGAATACAATTATAAAAATGTTTTATTGACCTTTACAAGCAAATAAAACTACACATATACCTTTGATTTTACACAGGCTGTTCAGACCTGAGAGGGGAATGGTTACAGTGGTTTCATAGCTCTTGAGCTCTTGAGCTATGGGCTCAATTCTGCCCTAAGGCACTTTCAGAGTGAAATTTTCATGTTTCCTCCATGCCTGAGTGTATTTTCTCCAAATCCTCTGATTTCTTCTCATAGTTAGAGAAACTGTTTATAATAATTAGTCTCCCCTGCATGTGTGTGGTATCTTGTCTGAGGAACACTCTGCCTTGCAGCCATTGTCTGCTATGATACTGTAGGCTGCAGCTCACTGCGAATATGTAACACTAAGCGGTTATTAAAAACAAATGGATGTTAAGAGCTGTTTGCTGAACACTTGGGGGAGCTCTATGGTTAGCGCTTTAATACTATGATCTGTATAATAGCACTGCATTGTGTGTCACACAACTCTTTTTTTAACAAGTACTTAGGACTAATCCATCAGACAAAGCAAATTTAGTTGGCAGGAGGGGGCAGCAAGGTTACTACTGCTACATTATAGCTCAAGGCTACTGGGTACGTTTCCAGATAGTGACACCTTCTTTTTGGAGTTTGCATGATCTCCCTATCTTAATGTGGGTTTTTGCTGGGTACTCTGGTTTTCTCTAACCTCCCAGAAACATGGAGTTAGGTTTGAATGTTTGACTGATAATATACCATCCCCAGGTCATACCCAGGTATGGAGTATGTAAAAGGAAAATTGAATAAATAAAATAATTAATAATAATTAATTATTATTATAATAGTAATTTAAAAGTTATTTAATAATAATTCCTTACACTTATATAGCACTTTTGTGGACACTCCACTCAAAGTGCTTTACAGGTAATGGGGACTCCCCTCCAACACCACCAATGTGCAGCATCCACCGGCAGCAGCCATAGTACGCCAGAACACTCATCACACATCAATTATCAGTGGGGAGGAGAGCAGAGTAATGAAGCCAATTTATAGATGGGGATTATTAGGAGGCCATGACTGGTAAGGGCCAATGGGACATTTGGCCAGGACGCCAGGGTTACACCCCTACTCTTTTCGAGAAACCCTGGGATTTTAAATGACCACAGAGAGTCAGGACCTCGGTTTTACATCTCCTCCAAAGGACAGCACCTGTTTACAGTAAAGTGTCCCTGTCACTATACTGGGGCATTAGGACCCACATGTTAGCACCCCCTGCTGGCCCCACTGACACCTCTTCCAGCAGCAACCTTAGTTTTTCCAAGGACGTCTCCCATCTGGGTACTGACCAGGCTCACACCTGCTTAGCTTCAGTGGGTTGCTAGTTGTGAGTTGCAGAGCTGCAAATAGCTGAACAAAGGCTGCAGAACCCTCTACAAGTCAATTACATACAGCTTCACTAGGTAAATTGATCTCAGACACATTAATATGTTAAAGAATTCAATTATTAAAAATGCAATGTGTGATTACAGTACGAATAGTATTCCATTAGTTACAATTTCAAGAAACACAGTATTCTAAAACAAATTGCACTACTTATTTTTCAAATAATAAGTATTCCTTGATACAATGAACACTGGCAAAAATCAACCTCTTGACCTACTTTTGATTCCTTAGAAACCATCATGTCCCATTTATTATAGGAAGCTCTTGTACATCCTGCTTTGCTTCATCATTTCTAATGGCTCCCTTTAGAATATCCCATTGTGTTGTGTTTATTGACCTACTCATTACTCATTCTGTGCTGTTAAAAAAAAAACTTAATCTGACATACTTTGGCAATTATTTTGGGGAATTTTAGATTTATTACAGTCATTAGTCTTTCTTTCAGTGCTGGTTATAATAATGTAAGAAATCAATAATCCCCATAGTTTATGAAGAAACTTCAGTAGCCATGTGTTTGCATAAGTGTTATAAAAATAAACAAAAATCCCTAATTTCCAGGATAGGTTTTATAAAGTTTACCCCTATAGCTCCACTTTGTTATTTTAGTTTTAGTTTTGTTACATGTTAATACCCAATATCATCCCAGCTACAACACATTGATATAAGGTACATGAAGAGAGCAAACACTAAATCCCTCATATTCTGTGTGTTGTCAGGCCATCAAACATTTTTGCACAGCAGTCATGAAGTAGTCCAACAGAGTAACTGTTACATCAAAGAGAGGAAGAACACCATTATGTACAGACTCCCAGGTGCCTGGTCAGTGAAAGCTGCCACTAACACACAATTAACTAATAGAGCACACCTGTTTGGTCCCTCCCTACCAAACTTCATTTGTATCTGGGAGCTCCCAGAGACAATTCAAGCACAATATAAAGTTGCTTGGGATCAGATAGGCAGTTTCAAGGCCACATGACACAATGAGTATCCCTTGTTGAAGTTTTTACTAAACAAGTGCCTCTAATGAAAGTCTGTAAATGATTTAAAATTTAAATTAGGGATCTGCTTTGAAAGATAAGTAGATTTTGCTAAATTGTTGCTTGAATGCTTATTATACTGCACTAAGCACCAATTGTTTGGTTTACCAATGGTTGCAGACTGACAACATTGAAACATTGCTTCCACTGACCAAAAAGAATACATACCAGATTTTCTTCAGCCATCCACAACCGCATTGCTTTATTAAAGCCTTCCTTAATTATTAACAGCAAGGCATTTTGTATTTGGCTAGGTATGAAAAAAAGTAGTTAAACATTGATCACAGTTTAGCTTAATGCTAACAGAAATAAGGATATTGACAATTCATTTATTATTGTGGCTAGACAGTGTGGAAAGATTTGCATGATATGAAAGCTTTAGTGGTAAACCAAATAGATATGGACAATATCTTGCTTCATTATTCTGAAATAGACTGAAGTATGGCAATAATTATACAGTAGCAGGAGTCTAGATAGGAGTCATGCTATTCACAACAAATCTTATCTGGGTATACGCTTTTTTTAAAATAATGCAGTATACTTTACTAATACATTATTACACAGTGAATTTGTGTTGTTTGCTGTATTTTTTCTGACTTGATGATTAGTTGCATTTCTGCCTGACCTGTAATGCCAGAGTCAGAGCTGCCAGCCAATAGTTGAAGTTACAATGAACAGTTTCCTTGATGAACAGAGTTTAAATAAGATTGCTGTAGATTCTGGGTTTATAATGCACTTTTTTGCGGGTATACTAGTTTTCGAATTCACCTCGCATCAGTGGCAGTTCTGTATTCACTCCCGCATTCAATCGGAAGTGTAATAAGTCACTATTTGAAACCAGTCCCATGGAGACACGCAGAGGGGTCGCTACAGTCTGGGAATTCCGTTCTCCCAATCGCACGCACACACACCGCCATGTTGGTCTTAACTGCAGGTTTGAAAATCAGTGTCTGAGTGTATTCCTCTTATCTCAGTAGAGCTACCCCTCTCTTGGCAGCTGCTATCATTTACACGGGCTCTATGAAAATAAACGGAACCACTGATAGAAGGGGGGCTGCCGCAGTGACTAAATACCTGAGGAGTGTAAAGGGAGATTGTCCTGAAAAAAACCATAACAGAACGCGACAGACCTTCCTCCAGCATGTCCACTAAGGACGGACTGCTCCCCAGCACTGATCGTGTGATAAAATGTGAGTACGTTTTTTGTGTGTTGGTTTCTCTACTTGTGTGGGAACTCAAGCAAAATATTCCTAGTATGATGTTAAAAATGGCGGACCTACTTTACATTTGCAAATATTTATGTTCAGCGAAGATCCCGGCTGACTGGGAGATTATTTAAATGCTGAAAGTGTGCTGGGTTATTCAAGTACGTTTGACCTTTTTTGTTGCACGCATTTAAAATTATGCAGCGATATGTATACAGCAAAAGGGAGCGCTTTGCCTCCTCATGTCGCTTTCTACAAAGTTAGGTTGTTTTTGGCTTTTATATATGTACTTAAATGACGCAATTTAAAGTTTACAAAAATATTCAGAGAATTTCTGCATGTTTTATTAACACTGTTAATGAATTAAAGCTCACGCTAACATTTTATGATGTATGGTTATGCAGTTAGCTTAGTTATGAGTGACTTTAGGTTATAATACAAGTGTATATATATATTACTATGTATGTGTGAAGATAGACAATTTTTATAGTTTGATCTAGTCAGTAATGTACAGTAGGATATATACTTACTGTGTGTGTTTCATAGACATACAGTATTACGGTTTGGAAACGAAGACAACAGTTGCTGCAGATTAAAACTCGTTATCAGGGAAACTTGTCTTTCACTCAGAGATACATAAATTCTACATTATTATTCTTATTGAAAAACGTTAGACACCACTTTAAGATGTTGGACAAATACAGAAGTACAGAAATTATTTTAATACATACTTCTTATGTATGTCGTTTTTAAAAGACGTTAAAGTTGAAGATAGTTTAGATGTGGCGTTGGAAATGGTAACTGGTGAACACTATTCGCAGGCCCTGTCAGCGTGTCCTGAAGTAGGCGTGATCTTTCAGATGTGCTTGGACTAAGAATGGCTGTCACTGTGGCCTGCATATTACACACTGCACGCTGACAGAGGGCCGTTGAACACATTTGAAATGGTCTTAGTAGAAAAGAGAACGATCATTTTTAAGTTCGTCGTTTTCTTTACTGTGCCGATATTGTGAGCGCGGTTCAACAGCATACTGTATATCCAATTAAAGTCAGTAGAACGCAATATTTATAAGTGCTTTTACTTTGCTTTACAGGTAAAAAAACTAAAATGCATTTATTATTAAGGCGATTGCCCCTCAGTTACATGAACTTGTTTGCTAATCTTTCTTTGACAGTTTTTCTGTGATGCACTGCAGTGAATTGGATGCTACCACACTGTACCTTAATGATTGATTAATGTTTCTTTATGCAACTAAAACATGCTTAGTTGCATACGTAATTTATTTTATTACTACGGTACTTTAAAACATTTTCCACCCTTAGTGGTAGAAATGGAAAACAGTGATATTTACTGTATTAAACTCCTTATTTAAATGAGAAGAACTCCAACATTAAGTAAAGGTGGATGCTACTAATATTTTAGTCCACATTATGTTTTGAACTTGGGGGAATACGAGCTGCTCCCTCACAGGTCCTCTTGAGTCCTGGGTTTGATTCAGGACTGGCAGTCCTCTGTGTGGAGTTTGCATGTTCTTCCACGTTAGGGTTTTCTCCAAGTGACATTCTGGCTAGGCTGTTTGGAAACTCTGAACAGAACTTCTGCTTGTATGTGTGTCTGCCCTGTTGTGAACCAGCCTGTATGCATTCCTGCTGTGCAACTAGGATTTCTGGGTTATCGCTGTGCTCCTTACCAGGAACAAGCAGCCTTTTCAGAATGGACAGAGGTTTTTAGCTTTATGTTATTGCATCATATTAAAATGCATCAAGAGAAGGTTTTGTCCTGCAGTATAACAATGTCTTGTCCAGGGTGGACTCCTGCCTTGTGCCTTAAGCTTCAGAGAGCAGCTCTAGGTTTGCCGCAGCCACAACCCTCACCTGAATAAGCAGTGTTCTGGTTGGTGGATAGAAGAGAAAATTCTTAGTAGAAACCCTTCCCCAGAAAAGGTCTCCCATTTTATTTTTAGCTATGTGTCTATTGACAGTGGTCTCGCGGTATTTGAGGTATTGGATACGGTGCTAACAGGTCACTCCTGCATACTTAAATCTAGGTGAAATATAAGTACAATATTTGTTTATAGTGTGTCTCCTGAGACATTTGTTCATCCAATTTGTATTGGAATTTGCAGCTATAAATGAGACCTATTTTCCATGTAATACTTTTGGATTTCCAAACAAAAAAAATATTTCCTCATTTTAATTTTTTTTCTGTTAATTTTCAAAATGTCTTTTATAATCATACTTAGACAGATTAATCATCTAAAATATATACATTTGTTTCCTTTTACCAATATATCTCATTTATACACAAATAGTTTTACATTTTTGGAACATTTTCCAGATTAAGATAGCTAGATTCAAAGTCATACTGAATACTGCCACAGATTAGTAGTACAGCAGCCAATGAATTTGGGTAAATTTGAATCAAATGCAGCGTACATTCATCAATAATAAAGAACATTTGTCTCGGCAAATATCATGGCCCCAAGATACAGTACATTGATGTTAACACAGAGAAGACTGTCGATAACAAAATTACAAATACTCTGGAGAATTACAGCTGAATTGATGTGATTGTTGTTTGTTTAATGACTTCAGCAATGAAAAACAACACAACTGTGTAGCTTGAAGTTGTCTCATGTATAATTCAGTGATCACGTTAAAAGTCTATTCCTGCACTTAAATTAATAAATTCACTTTCTTATGAGAGTTGTAGAGAAGTTGCTGTAAAAGTATGACCTTAGAATGAAACATTTTAGATGTTTGTGTGAGCCTTTGCTTTTATGTTTGTACCTGGAAGTAGAAAAAATGTTTTGTTATTGTGGATATCAGGGGATGGATTTTGTCTGGAAATTAAACCATCAAAATCCATTTTAAAATGTTTATATATCTCCTCGAAAAGTACTTTGGATGACACGTGGAACAGTGGTATTCTAGGATGTAATATGCTGCTATCTAATACATGCATTTAGAAAAATAATGGAACAAACATATAATCAAAATCCAAAAAACATACAGTACACTCTGTTTTGATTAATTGGTCACCTGTGATTGACCATGATGTACTCAGATGACTTTTAACTGTTGCATAAGCACTTAGTCACCTCTTCAGAAAGAGAGTGTATTGAACAAGGGAGATGAGATAACTTATCCTATTGAATTTCAAGCTTGGTGATAATTGGAAAATTTAAAGAAAGTAAGCCATTTAATTTTTTTCTGGTTTTGGATAGCTAAGAAATCCAAACAAAATAGAACAATGCCTTCATCATGCCATGTACACAGCCAGCAATTTCTGTCCTTGAAATACATTGCAGATAAGCACAGTTCTTCAAGTCATAATATTCCAGCAAGATCAAGGTTCAAGAGGTTCAGATGATTGGGTCTGAGCTGGAGGGTCTTGTCACTATAGAACTCCATTTCTAGTAAGTGGATAGCAACCTGACTGTGTAGCGCTATACTGATCAAGTCCCGAGACCTCACTTGATGCTTTTCCTGGCCTCATTCTGAGGTGACAACACATGTTGTTATGCTGCTTGTACAATAACTGCTTTCTTGTGAAGCCAGATTCATTAAATATTTGTGGGATAAGCTGAGACAATGTGGCTTTTAGAGCTCAGAGTGAAAAAGACATATGTTTATCAAGGCTGTACTGGTGTATAGGGACGGAGACCCTCAAGTCTTCAACCTGATGCAAAGCAATCGCAGATGTGCTCCTTGGAGTGCTTCCAGCTGTGGATACTAGCCTGTATTTTTCACACAAAAAGATCCACAATTGGTATTTTAATGGCATGTTAAAATTACTATAATGAATTTTCCTGTCATGTCTGTTCAATAAAATATCAGTGCGCATACTATAGACATATTTGTAATAATTACTACTGAGTTTTGTTGCAGTTATAAGTGTTTTTATGTTCAGAGTACTATATAGTAATGTCAGTCAGACTTTAGAGAAGGGCATTGTTGTTGTTTGGAGTCAAATGGAAAAATGATCAAGCAGAAAAACACTTGAAGGTCTATAATGTAATGGCAGGTAAAGAAAATTCGATATTTTATCTAATGTTTAAAATATTTTAAAGGAATTGAAAATGTCACCCCAAACCACTGCTTCGTCTCGGGTATTATTGGACAAGGACTGCAAATGGAGGGAAGTGTGTCATTTACTTGCATGTTTATGGAAATTTAATGTTGTAGATACTTATTCTGAAGCACCCTTTCCAAAACTGCTTGAGTACTTGAATCCCTGAAGTTCTTGCAAACCAAATGAGCAAGAATGCTTAAAAGTCTCATTATATTTACAACCTTATATTTATAAATATTTAGACTACTCAAAAAACTTTGTGCATCCTATCATGCACTAAATAATGTATTTTTACTTCTTTCATTAGTTAGAATTTTGTGGTTTTCTAACTCACAAAAGCCAACTTTATTGTGGGTACAGTGGGTATACCTGGAATTCAAATTCTTGCCCGAAGGTGAGTAGTGAAACTTTAAACTACATTGTTATGTGTACTGAAGCCAGGAGAATGGACAGGCATGGCTGGTTGGATTTAACTGCCTTAACTAGAAGTACAGTCATTAGGTTATATTAAAGAATTACAAATACTGCATCAATAGAAAGTTAGCCATGTGAGCTAAGCAATGATTATAGGAAGATTTTTTTTTTCTTTTTATGTTATGGAAACTATTGGTTTGCAATTAAAAGCTAATTTGCAAAACTGTAGTGATTTTTCTTAACTGGTGATGAACTTATTGGCATAAACATACATACATGGACATCCATTTAGAAACATTGCAGTCTGTCATACTAAAATGCACAAAAATGGTGCCATTATTTAATTCAGTTACATTTAAGATTACTTTTTAATATCAGCAAAGTACAGTAGGTACAGTGTGACTTGAGTGTTTATGAAGTACAGTAGATATCACATGTATCAGAAAAGATTGTACATTTACTGCAGCCCTTTAGTAATAAGATTGTAAAATGAAGTAGTTCAGGTGGGTAGCTGCGTCAGCATGCATAGGCTGCAAAGGAACAAGTAATAGGTCAATTCCATGTCTAAAAGAGAAGAAAAGAAACAACGTTTCGGCTGTGGAGCATGTATTACACCCGAAGAAGGCTCCAGAGCCGAAACGTTGTGTTTCCTTTCTTCTTTTCAGATTGTAAAATGTACCAGATAACCTATTGTAATACTGTTTTTGCACCAAATGTTTTAAAGGCATTGTGACACTGAAAATCATAATTGTACTGTTTAGTGCTAAACCTTAGCAGTTTGGTCAGTCATGATGTAATCCATTACAAATTGTTTTAGTAATGTTGTTTTGAATGGCTAGATGCACTAACACAAATGAATATTGAAGCTGTAAAAATGTGAAAAGCATTATTTAACTGACAGATTTTCTGTAATTCTCTTAAACCTTTAATTTCTGTCATCATTTTGCGCAGAACTAATTCAGAATGAGGATCTAATTGATTTTTCAGTGATAATATAAGGAATATTTACTGTAGTCATTTTGTAAGCTCACTTCGTTCTCTCTGTATTCACATGGGTTTTCTCAGGCGTTCAGCATTCCTATCATGCTGGGTTATTTGGACAAATTGTCACCCATCTATGTGTATGAATGTATACAATATGTATCCCATCCGGGGTGTAGCTGTCCTACCTTGTGCTTATGCCTGCTAGGTTTGGTTATAGTTCACTGCAACCCTTTGTGAATAGGTGTTGATTTTATTTGATTTGTAGGTGACACTCTTTCCCCTGAATGAGAATATCCTAAATCAACACCCCACTGTAATGATACTGTAGAAATTATCATTTTTCAAATGAGATGTTAAACTGAGCTCCTGACTACTTGGTAATTAAAAACCCAATACCACTTTTCAAAAGTGTATGAGTATTAACTTAGTGATTTGACTAAATTCTACTCTCAAATAATCTGACCTTTTAATACACCCATCTATTCAACAGCTAAAGCAATTTCTTATTTCTCTACCAGAACTTCTTGCACTTAGGTGTCATGGTTGCAAGACAGGAGGAGTATCTTCTTACTTAGACTCTGCTGTATTCATAGCAATGTTATAATACTAGAAAACAGTAGTGGGGCCCTTTAGTAATTGTTGCTGTACATAAATGTGGTTCAGATCCCAAGTGCCCTGCCATTGTACCGTTGAGCAAGGTACTTCACATTCATATTGCTTTAGTAAAACAATCTCCCTCTGTGTAGGTGCAAATATCAGTAGCTTTGGGTAACAAAAGCAACGAACTTAATAAGATTGTGTCTGATGTTTAATATCTTTGCTCAGCAATATCATTTGTGGGGTAAAGAACTGGCCAAAAAATGTAGCAGTATAGAGGTATTTGTTAATTCCAAATGATGTATTGGGTTTAGTGTTATATAAGATGAAACAAAAAAGGCCAGATGAGCAAGGTCAAAAAAACGTATCAAATAATTAATAAAATTATAATAAGAACTATAGACCCTGAAGGATCTGGGGGAAATGCATATTTTGAAATCTCAAATTTCCAGGACTGGTGATATACACAGTCCTCTTCAGGCTCAAGGCACACACAAGGAGCAGAAAATTAAGTCTTTGAAATAAGGGGAATTTTAGGAATAGATCCTATGCACAGTTATGCCCGCCCTGTGTGACACATTTCAAGTGTCTGTAGTTTAAGTGTGCTTATAGAAACTCTGCAAATGCTAATTCCTTTTGTAGGAATGAGATAATCTTCCTTGAGACCAAACTGTCTTGTTCTATTTTTGAAATGCACTTTATATTGTGTACGTGCAGTTTTGATGAATATTGTGTTGCTTTTAATGGAAATGGGGCTATTTCACAGCAGTCCTAAATGAGCACCCTGCCAGTTCTGAGCAAATAAAAATAATGGGGATATGTGCAGGCATGAAATGGACATTATAATTGAATTCATTAATATAAATGTATATTTTTAGAATATCACAGTTCTGCTAAGATGAGGTTTAAGTTTAGTTTTACAGAACAAACAGCATGCATCATCCATCAAGGCAAAGTACAGAATCGACAATATCTAAAGTTTTTTCATTTAGTGATAGTGTTAACCAGCAGAGGTGAATAGTTCTAATTGCTATTTGTAAGTCATTGAATGAGGTGCTGAATGTTACTTATTTCAAGGTGCACATAATTCAAGTGTTAATATCAACAAAGTTGTTTTTACTGAATCAGTTTTGTTTTCAACTGTTAAAAATGAGGTAAAATGGGCTTGGTGCTAAAACGTATTTAAATTAATTTTTAAATTAATTAATTTAAAATGTTTACAGTGGTATTTTGTTGTCCTCTTCCAGTCAAGAAAAGTCCTTGGTTATGCCTGCAGAGTGACAGTTATTGCTGCAATCGAAGTGTTATTTCAGAAAACATGTTTACATTGCCTTCAGAGTGACAAACAATCTCAAAACATGGGCTTGTTTGAAGAATGCTCTTTCCACAACAGGTGCCCGTTTTTTTTCTGAAGTGTTTTCCATGAGGGCGAGTAATGAAAATTCAAACAGCTACAGTAAATAACCCCTATTGGGTTTATTTTAAGTCTTCCTATAAACCGTATTTGTAATAATAGAACAACCTGTTCATAGAACATATCTTCGCAGACAGAAGACCTCTGTTAATTTTAAAGGGGCAAGAAATCACTTTTCTTTTTCCAGCCTATAGCCGGGCTAAGTGTATAAAAGTGTGTCCACTGTGAAACTTTTCACAAGTGCATACATTAAAGTAATTGCTTCTGACCTACAACTGTCACGTCAGTACTGCAGTATGACTCAACTTTAAATAAAAACAAGAGTACTTCAGCTTTGATGGACCTTTAGGCCTGATGATCCACATTTTTAGGCCAAATGTAAAATTGCAAGGACACTTGGCAAAGATTCATAAGCCATAGCAAATTGTCAATGCAGTTTTATATAACAGAAAATTTTGTACAGTTAAAGGGAATTTATTCGGTACTACTTACAGTATTTATTTCATAAGGGAAATATAGAATAATGATAAACGCAGCTCATAACTGAAATGTGAAGAAACATCTTAATGGATTGGCATTTTTAAAAATAACCCCAGGGAGTTAAAACAGTGGCTCTGGGTTCTGAGTTACCCTGTAACTCGGAGAGGGGGAGGCAGCAGCCGGTTTTTGCTGACACATGCATGACAGCCTCACTTATTTGTGACCTTTTCTTGTTGGCTGTTTCCAGCCAGAACAGAGAAGGCTTACTGAATCTACTACACTTTCTTTTCTGCTCCTGTTTTAAGCTCTGAAGCAGAGTACCGGGCATAAGAGAGAAGCATTCTGACTTCTGTAGCATTGCCGAAAGTGACTTTTCAATTCAACACATTCACTAGAAAGTTTTAGAACTTACAAGTTGAAGTAAGTTTTCAGCAGGAACAATGTAAGGGCAAGTTTAGAACAGAGGTAGGGCAAGGGAGGAAGTCTGTAGTAGTATTTTAAGATCAGAAGAGCATTCTGTTCTTCTAGGAGCAGGAATGACAGTGATGAAGAGAGCTCAGGGGCAGTGGCCGAGTTGTATTATTTCTAGAGCACGCTGCTTCCTTCCCTAAGCACATAACTTCACATTTATACCTGAATTACTTCTTAACTCTCTGCATATAGACTAATAGAAAGGCTTACAGAATGAAAATTCTTTGCTAAATAGTCTTAAGAACGGTCTACAAAGGTAACATTTGACCTAATGCATGGAATAAAATTAGTGGGATTTAAATCCTAGGTCATTTCTAACAGTTGTGATAATGCTAAAAATGTAATCTATTCCTCATTATGAAATGTAATATCACACTTTAAACCATGTTTAAAACCTTATAAAAATATTTATATAATATATATATTTATGTTTTAAGAGTTCTTTAGGAATCTAAATGTGGTGGAAAAATTCTGAATGACAAATGATGATGTAGATCTTGATTGTTTTATTTGCTTGGCTGATGCCCTTATCTCAGGATGACCCACAATAGATCATTTCCATTCCATGTAAGTACAAGGATTAATGGCAGGTACAGTAAAAATAAATAATAGAATGACAGTAAGGCTGAACCAAAACTGCAAGAGCCACACAGGTGGCATACAAACATAATGAAATGATAAGAACTAAAACATTAATACAGACAGTGTATAAAGAGGAGTAATGTAAACATTATGAAAAAAAGTTACAGAACCAAGGATTTTAAATGATCTTTTCTCTTGAATGCAGAAAGGTTAAATTAATTTTGTGGGGGCATATTGCCCTCCCCTTTTCTTATGTTACATTTAATATTAAATACTACACATCAGCTTATTACTGTATATATTCAGTGCATTTTAATTGTAGAAACACCTTTGAGTGTGAATCTGTAGCCCTGCATCTGGAATAAGGTTCTTGTTACAGCTGAGTTCTGAATGACTTAATTGGGCCACTTGCTTAATTAGTACAAGTTAACATGCTCTAGGCTTCTCTTTGCTTACTTGACTATTTAAAGCTACCTGAAAAATCTTGTTCATTGTAACCTTCCAGCATCACAGTTGTAGGTTTCAGTTATTTTGTTTTTATTTTTTTTCCCTGAGCACCTTGGTTCTGTGAAAACTTTGCAAGAAAATAAATCTCCTTGTTTTGTGTGTTGCAGCTGTCCCCTTTCCGCCCACTCATCGGCTGACAGCTGAGGAAGTGTTTGAAAATGGTAAGCCACGGGTGGAGGTTCTGAAAAACCACCTCATAAAGGAGGGACGACTGGAAGAAGAAATAGCCCTTCGGATTATTAACGAAGGAGCTGAGATACTTCGCAGAGAGAAAACTATGCTAGATGTGCAAGCACCAATTACAGGTGAGAGCTTTCGTCATTCTGATTGGTTACGTTTAATCCCTGCTTCTACAGTAGGGTAAAATGTGAAATGATAAGTATACAGTAGATTTGTGTGCATTAATATATAATTATATTCTGATTTCATTTTTAAAGAGATATTTACAAGGCCAAAATAAAAGCTGTTAGAGCATACTGCTCAGGGCTCCCTTTATGGGATGAGAAAAATGCAGATGGTTTGAACTACTTCTTGAGTCACAAGCAAAATGATAGAAACAGCTCACACTGACATCGTCCTTCAGGCACCCGGTCAGCCAAATGAGTTGCTATTAGGTCGCTAGAAGAGAATCCCCTTGCTGACTCTACCCAAAGCAATCCTGATGGCTCACAGCCAATTCAGCACTAGGACTCCCAGCAAAAGGCAGAGAACAGCATAGCCTGGATTTGACCTAGTAATGCTAAGGTCATAGACCTTTTACTGTTCGTTAAAGAGGATTTGGAGCTTCCCAAAAAGTGTTTTTACTCCATCATTAGGTCTGTTTTTGTGAAAACATGTCATTTGAACTTCAGTAAGAGCATAGGGAAAGCTACAGATGAGAATTAGTAATTAGCTCCATCTAGCTCATTTGGTTTCTGGAAAGTCAGAGTAACTCTTTGTGTAAAGTGCCTCCTGTTCTTTCTTTTATGTTTTTCTGCTTAGTTTCCACTTGTGTCCTCTGCTTCGTGTTTCAGTGCTAATTCTGAAAGAGTGTATTGGGTTGATGTTCTCAATGCCTGGTTTGAATCTGTTCCCTTTACAGTACTCTCTTTACAAGACGAATGTAAGCTGAACTTTATGGACACAACCCTTTTTCTCTTTTAGAAAACTTATTGTACATTGAACAAAGTATATTATCATTGGTGTAAATCTAGAATGATTCCCTTCATCATCAACTTGAAACGTTCTCATAAGTAGTGTATATATGAATTGGACACTGGACCATATATTTATGTTATAATCATATATAATGGATATTTAAGATGACTTTAAAACACATTATGATCCTTCACAAAGGAATAAAGATTTGTCTTTACACTTGTCTGACATAAGCTGAAAGTGGTCTTCCTCTCACTTTTGGAAGGGTAACTCAGATATGTAAATGTTTTAGTTTTGGTAACTTATAAACCTAAATCGGACTATAGTTTTATTGTTTCCAACTTGGGTTAGCTTTTTTAAGTCCTCTATAACCTATTTCAAATGATAGCTCATTTTTACCTACAATGCAGTGTGCAAAATATTGCATAATGAATCTCTAGTTTTTCTGCCCTTCATTATAATCAGTGTAGGTCAAATTAGTGTTTAAAAGTTTGATTGAGGCAACAATGGTGGGCTAGCAGTAGAATACAGAGGTACTGCTTCTAAAAGCTTTAATAGCACTGAATGTAAGGCTCACCCTGAAATAACCTTAGCATAGGATGGATAAAAATGTGTTTACATTCTACAGTGTTCCATTAGCATCTTCTTACACCGCATGCCCTGCAGTCTAAGGTGTAGCATCAGACAGAAGCCCGAGGAAGCTCTTAGCTCTTAGCTGACATCCAGCAAACCATAGGGATTGCTGTAACAGGATACTCTAGGAGACTACAAGCCCACATACCCTAGTGACACGTAGCCAGTAATGTGCTACTGCTGTTGGCTAATGACAAAAATCCTGTTTTGTGAGGCCCAGATTGAAATATAAGTGGAACCGTTGCTGGTTGAGGCACTTATTAGCATACATAGTATTTAAGAAACTGATGAACAAGAATTCAGTTATTCACCTCAGTAACTGAGCGCTCTATTATTTGTGTAAACAATTAATTTAAAACTTTAACTCTTGTTTTTGTGTTAAGATAAAATATTGTACAAATATTCTATTCTGTGCATTTTGTGCTGTAGGGCAGAATTTAAAGTTGGAGACTTACAGCTCATTAGGGTGATTTACTGAGTTACATAGTATTTTGTTCTCGCATTTGGTATGAAAAACAAGGAAGGCATTTTGTATTGAGGTGTCATGAAAGGATTTTATGCTACTAAACTATTCAGAGATATGAATGTCATTTCCTGTCCCTGATCCATGAGATAAATTTCACTTTAGTGGTTTTGTATTTCATTTAATTCTGTGGAAGATTTCGGAGTTATTGTTTTATCCTTCTTCTTCATTCTTGTAGTTTTCCAAAATTAAGTAAAGTAATATTTGAAATAGAGGTTGTCATCTAGATTTCAGATTATTTTTTTATAAAAACTATTCTAAATATAAGAGACTTTAATTATATATTTTTCAAGTTTTCAAGTCTTTATTCCCATCACTTGAAACATACCACTTTTTTTACATTAATGGTATTGTATGGATTTTCATACACACATACACGCATACACAGCCAGCTAAACTACAATGATTTAAATAATTTTAGAATTTTAAGTATTTTAAGTAGCTGTTTGTCTTTTAGTGTGTGGCGATATTCATGGGCAGTTCTTTGACCTGATGAAGCTCTTTGAAGTGGGAGGATCCCCAGCCAACACTAGATACCTCTTCCTTGGTGACTATGTGGACAGAGGCTACTTCAGTATAGAGGTAAGAGAGAACAGAAGATTGCGCAGTTTGAAGACTTGAACTAATTACACCTTTATAGTTTTCGGATAGATACATTGCCTTATTATCTTGCATTTATAAGCTACCAGATCTACACATTGTTTATTCTCCAGTAGGCAGAAAACTGAGCGGTCAACAGTGACATGATCTTTAGAGCTGCTGCCTCAAAAGCCTAGACACCCTCATCCTGTTCTTGGTTGAGGTGCCTTTGTGCTGGGAATTTGTACTTTCTCCTCATGTTCATGTGTTTATCCTCCTGGCACTCCAAGTTTCTTCTGCTTTCCAAAGACAATAGTGGTAAGCTAAAGTGTCCGTTCTTTGATGAAAGGGAAATTCCCTTAATTAATCAACCCTATTAGAAGCAGCTGATAGGATGCTGATGCCAGAATTAGTTGTTAAGGGGTTTTGAAGAATAACACCGAAAACAGAATCTTGTGATTACACAGTGTTTCTCCTATTTCTTAACATGTTTATTTTGGAATACATTGTCTGAAAAAATGATACTAAAACAGTATGCAGCAGTCAACTGAAATTATATCTATTTACCGTGTGAAAGCTTGTGTTTTGTTTTCTGCTTGTATTCATGAATTCATGGGCGGAGCGGTGGCTCTGTGGCTAAGGATCTGTACCTGTGGCTGGAAGGTTGCTGGTTCAAATCCCGCAGCCGGCAGGAATCCTACTTAGTTGGGCCCCTGAGCAAGGCCCTTAACCCCAACTGCTCCAGGGGCGCCGTACAATGGCAGACCCTGCGCTCTGACCCCCGGCTCTCTCCCTATCTGTGTGTCTGTGTGTCTCATGGAGAGCAAGCAGGGGTACGGGGAAAGATAATTCCTAATGCAATTCCTAATGCAAGAAATTGTGAATAAAGGGTTAATAAAGTGATGTTGTTATTATTATTATTATTATTATTACTATTATTATTATTTATAAATGCTTTGCTTTCTTTCACAGTGTGTTCTGTATTTGTGGGCACTGAAAATTCTATACCCTACCACATTGTTCCTATTAAGAGGCAATCATGAATGCAGACACCTCACAGAGTATTTCACTTTTAAACAGGAATGTAAGTATAAGGCACATCCAGGTGCATGTTTTATTGCTTTGAATTGCTGTACTCTGTACTGAAGCTTGTAATCATTACTTAGCTGTTGCAGTATTATAAGATAATATTGAACAGCTTTGCAATGTTTGGATTGGAGGAATGCGAAAGAAAACAATTATGTACTTTCAACAAAAAAAGACTTGCACTTAAATTATTAATATGTACAGGTCATCCATATTATGGCTGCAGTAAGAATATAGCTGGTTTATGTAAAAACATAAATACTGATGATCATTACTTAAAAACTTTCAGATAGTTGATTGCTATTACAAAACTGATTAGTATGTGGTGTTCTGTCTTTTAAATGTGCCACCCATAGTCCCTTGTCAAAGCAGACAACTGAAATGACTGTTTATAGGTTATAGGCTAGACAAGTTAGAATTGTTTTTTTCCTAAACAAAATTCAAAGCATTTTGTTCAAACTTACTGCTGTAATATTTATATAGAGGCCTGGCACTGCTCATATACAGTGGCTTTCTGGCCGGTGTAATGTTTAACATGATTAAATTGTAACATTTACATTTTTGGACTGGTTTTACTCCGGTTGGATTGTCATTATGCAAAGTCACTTATTTTAATGTCACATGAGCTTACTTGATCATTACAAATCATTACAAATACTGTTTTGTCAGCGTCATTGATGGTATATAAATGTTTGTGGGTTTTTTCAGCATAGAAAAAATTAATATCAAGAAGAAATACTGTTTATATAAAAGCATTAGTTTACATTAGTTTGGCTTTTCTTTATAGATTTTGAACTTGGTCACACTTTAGACACTTGATTTGTTTCTTTGGATCTTTTAACTTTCCAGGTAAAATCAAATATTCCGAAAGAGTGTATGATGCTTGCATGGAAGCCTTCGACTGCCTACCACTCGCCGCACTTTTAAATCAGCAGTTTCTGTGTGTTCACGGAGGCCTTTCTCCGGAAATCCAAACTTTAGATGACATTAGAAGAGTAAGTATTACCTTATTTATATCTTAATGAACACATTTACACCAAAACATGCATTTACATCACGTGCAGTTAAGGCTTTTTTTTTTTTGCACTACTGGGTCTCAAGAATAATGATCCATCCAGTATCTTTTTACTTAGTTTAAAATCTGCTTTACTTTGCACTCTACTGATGTCCTGTGTTAAAGTCAACTATAGCCGAGAACATAAAAGAGACTGAAAATAAGACAATATTGAGAAGGAAATTAATTCAGAACATCAGAATGTTATATGTTAATATGTTGTACTAGTGAATTTTAGAAATCTAAAATAAAACATTTTAATACTTGCGTTTGATAGTTATACAAATATTCTTTTCTTTGTGTTTGCACAGTTAGATAGGTTCAAAGAGCCACCTGCATTTGGGCCAATGTGTGACCTGCTGTGGTCAGACCCTTCTGAAGACTTTGGGAACGAGCAGTCACAAGAGCACTTTAGCCACAACACTGTCCGTGGATGCTCGTACTTCTATAGGTAATCTGGGTTTTTCTACACACCTGCTTTTGACAGTTCTTTAATATCTAGCCTCTGCACCCCAAATTTGAATATTACCCTTTATTTTTTGCTTTCAGCTACCCTGCAGTGTGTGAATTTTTGCAAGCAAACAATTTGCTATCAATAATTAGAGCACACGAAGCTCAGGATGCAGGGTAAGCCACTTAAGAAATAAGTGTAACTTTGTTGTTCTGAGCTAAAGTCATAAGTTGTGTGCTTAAGGTTGCGTTTTTACCTGGAATAATCCGTTTGTCTTTTCAGGTATAGAATGTACAGAAAAAGTCAAACAACAGGTTTTCCATCACTAATTACGATTTTTTCAGCACCTAACTATTTAGATGTGTACAATAATAAAGGTAAGTAACAGCCTCATTGATTAGTATTTATCCAGTACTGAGCTTTGAAGAACATTGTGTAATATTTGACTAAAGGTGATGTGGTGGTTATCTTTTTGAGCAATTTTGGGGTCAAATTGGCGTACTATATCCAAAATTAGGTTATACACAATTCAATACATATTGTTGTTCAAATGTATCTATATTTCTGCACTATTGTAGTTTAGCACATTCATCCTAATAATCAGAGGATAAGATAAATTATTGAATGAAGGTAATGCGGTGCTAATTCTGAATGTCAATAATTAATTGACTCTGAAGGAGAATAAAATATTTTTATGAGACCAATATACAGATTCTTATAAGACATACTGTATAAATGGTTATCAAAACAGGACAAAGGTTTTTCTAGGTGTTAGATTTCAGTTTGAAGTGTGTCTATAAAACTGTGAAAGAATCCATTTATACCTAACTGCCTGCTTCTTAAAATAAATAATACTGGAATTTGCTTTAGGGACTTTCTGAGTCCAGGTTTTACCAAAATCTTAATTTATTTAAAAAACAGCAACCAAAACACAAGGCAGTTTTATTGTTCTTTTTCCTATTGGCAGTTTATTTCAGATCTTACCAATGGCATTTGTTGTTTTGACATTTAGAATTGTGAAACCAAAACCATAAAGTTTTGATCTCAGTAACTGTTATCATGTACCCATAACAGTCTCTCTTTTTATAGCTTATTGTATTATTGTGATAGTATTGTTTATTATAGCTTTTTGTTTGTTGTGGGAAAAAAAGCATTTACTGTATGTTGGCTGCAGTCATATCCATTCATGATATTGTCCTTTAAAGACATACATTTTGAAATGTAAACAGTTGTACTTTTGTAAACAACTTTTACATTGTACAATACAAAGTAAAACCTATATGCATCCTTGGGATTTTAAGGGGTTTTGTCATTACAGCTGCTGTATTAAAATATGAAAGTAACGTGATGAATATCCGGCAGTTCAACTGTTCACCACATCCATACTGGCTGCCTAATTTCATGGATGTTTTCACGTGGTCTTTGCCATTTGTTGGTGAAAAAGGTATGTGAAGTATACCCGAATCTTTAGAAAATGAGTCATTTGTGCTAAAAATGTTGTCTTCAATCTGGTTACATTTCCTTGTATGTCCACTTGCATTTTGCTGGGTGCACTAAGTGCAAAATAACCACTGTTTACTCCCATCAAGATTATAAATGTTTAAAACCTATTAGGTTTCTACTGATAGTTCAGAAACATAATTATGATAGTCTTTTATTGCCATCATCTGCAGGAAAATCTGGTTAACATTCTTTGGGCCTCTTTTAGGACATCTGACGTCACTGGAAGCCCATAAAGCGTAAAAAAACATTTTGGATATGATATTTAACTGATGTTATACCTATTGCTAGATAATCTAAAATAATGCTATACATTCAGCATATGTGATTAATGCATTGACCACCAATAAATTGTCATATTAAAATAGTATCATTAAACACTGTAGCATTTTATTTTACCAAACTCTGTTCAAATCAAAGATTTTGGAGTTAAACCTCTTTTCCAATTATCATGTTGTGTGCAAATACAAAAGCTTCTGCTTTCAGGATAAAGTAACACTGTCTCTAAATCAGTTACAGAGATGCTGGTGAATGTGCTCAACATTTGCTCCGATGATGAATTAATGACAGAGGGTGAAGATCAGTTGGACGGTAATAAAAAGCTTTTGTTTTGTGAGATTTTCTTTTCTGTGTTATATTTTTTATAACCTGCATAATTTAAAAAAACAGTTACTGTAATTAATTATCCCATCACAAAAATACAGTACCTTTCAGGTCATGAGATATTAGACACTTACATTGGTTATAAATCAAAATGTTATACTTTGTAAATAGAAATAGATACTGTTTGTTATTTTTATCATAAATTGAACCTTTTTGTAATATAGAGTAATGCTTAATAGGCTGTATAACAAGACTAGTTTTGAAATCTAGCTCCAGATTCACAGATGGTAACTATCTTCTTTAGTGGTTTTGTTTTTGTTCTAGAATCTCACAGTTATGTGCACTGCATATGCTCAGGACAAAATAAAATATTAAATTGCTTACAAAATCAGTGTAGTTTAGATGTGTGAACTTCGTTCTAGTAATGCTGTATAGTTTTCCTTCAAGAGATCTTTTTATTTAGATTTTTTCACAAGGTGTTTTTGTAAACCAGTCCAAAGTACAAATTTAGGGTCAAATCACTGTCACAGAACTTTATTAATGCAGTTATATGTTAGCTGCAACTTAGTATGAGAAAGATCTTGAATGGAATATGGAACGTGTGTAATAGTTACTCAGAAAAAAAGATTTCACATTTTTTATAGAATTATAGAAATATTCTTGAAATTAACACCTAACCTGGGAACACCTGCAGAGCAGGTTTCATGAATAGCACTAAACTGTCTCTTTTATTGGTTTAAAAAATCTGCAAACCTGGAAATCAAAGTGTTAATATAATTTTATATTATTTCCATTTTCCTGTTGTTTGAATTCTTAATTGATAAGAATTCATTGGAATGTATTATATATGTGATTCTCTGACATCATTCTCTGCTTAGATTGTCATTGGTAACGTTTTTATAACACATAAAATAACACAGTTGTATAGAGTTGTTTTGTGTCAATAGACCAAATTGTATTTTCTAAATTTATAATGCATCTAGATAGCACTGCAGCTTGTGTCATTATGGTCCTCCCATTTTGTCTACCACTTACCAGTTGTGAATAACCTTGCAATAAAAATTTCCGGAATTTGGAATTTATTTTCCAAATTATTGTTTTAGTATCCAAATGTATTAATTGTATGCAGCACGTAGTATTTAAACAACATAACATTCTATAGCCTAATCACCTAATGAAAGCTGTCTGGTGGGTTTTTCTATTCTCGGTTTCAAAATGCCTATAGAAGACCCCACTCTACTGTGCCAAATGGCACATAAAATTTGTTTTTTTTATCAATAGCTTATCTAAAATCCATCAACAGTTCAGTGTGAACTGGTCCTGGTGGAGATTGGGTGGGTCTCACTACTGGTTTTGGGAGGGTTTAGTGCCCTGCAATATATCACTTCTGCTTCCATACAGTTTAATATTAGTTTTCAGGTACTACTACTAATATATAGATACAAATGTTATTAAAGGGAACAGCATTTCACAATTTTAGAAACCTAGAAAACACTATACAGTCATGGATCTGCCATCTTAAACCTTGTTCTGTGAACTACTGTATGCTTGGAGAAAAATGCTCCTGAATTTTAACAACAATCATGAAAAAACTATGTAATATGCAAAAGTAAGATGCAGAACAACAGGAAAATGCATTTATATATTTCACCTTTCAGAGTACATTAGTCGGTGCAGCTGAGGAATTTTGTTAATTTGGCTAAACGTAACCATTATCCTAACATTGATCTTTCCCAAATTGATGCATTTAATTTGTACATACACAAGTAGCCCAAGTCATGTCAGGAGACCACAAATATGACCCATACTAGGGGATTTTTAATATTTTTCCACTTTCCATTTAAGAGGTATTTAGCTTGACAGATTACAGGTATCTTACCTTTTTAGATACCATAAAATAATTATATTATAAAAAGATAGACTATTGTATTATATCTGAGGATGAAGTATAGTACATACTACATTAATGTACTGAACACACATAAAATCAGCTCAATCATTAAAAGGATCAAGATGAGATATATTCTTAGTATCTACTGACATGATGCTACTGCCCATCTTTTGCTATGTTGGAATATTTAATAAAGATGAAATTAATACATTTTGTTTATTGAATGTCAAATTGTGGTCATCTAAAGTTTCAACTTTTGAAAGAATAAGGTGCTGAAAATAGTTTGACTCTGAAACAATCAGATATGTTGTGAATAATAAGGTCTGTGAAATTCAAAGTCATCTGACAAGCACAAAAAAGTTTGTAGTTAAACCTGTTATAATATAAAATGTCAAAGTTGTGCTATTTCTATCTTAAACTTTCACATGGAGTTCAACTAAAACGAAATGCAAAATGTGTTTATTTGGCAATATGATAAGTCATTAATTATCATTAATTTAATCAAGTTGCACAAAAGTATTTGCCATGGTAGAGTATTAAAGAAAAAAAGTTTTAGTGCTTAGCAAAATCTTAGTACTATATGTATATTCCAGATTTACTTTACTCCTCTACCTCTACAAGGTCATCAGCCATTCTTTTAATATACCCTATTGTTACTTGATAGATTTTGAGTGTTATTCAGAAATGTTCTGTACGAAACAAAACTTACACTGGGCCATGGTTTTTACCAAAAACCACAGAGGAACATAGTCTTGTGGAGTTTTTTTTATCAGTCATTGTCTCAATTGAATAGTAGCCCCATGAAACATTGTCACAAAGCAAATTACAGGCAACTACTGACATAACTTCAGAAATAATGTATTTTACTACAGATTAGACTTTCTAATGTAACTGTTTGGGTCTGACCTGAGGAAAATCCTTAAATCTGTAGTTGCACTGCCTCTCCACTTTTATAGAGTAAATTGTTTTATGTTTGTGTTATGTTGACCAGCTTTCATTTATTTTGTGTTCTTGTTTAAGGGATATCCTGAAAAGTGGGAGGTCAGGCAATTTAGTTAAAGCAGTGACAACAATAAATATTAAAACTGAATCTGGCATTTTATCTCTTTGGGTACTGTCTGGTTATTTAGTTTGTGTTTTTACAGGTTGGCATTGCATGTTCTAGAGAAATTTCAGTAAATTCAGTGTCCTATGGCATTTTCAGCAGAAAACAGTGGCTTTAAGGTGTTCTTAAGGCTAAGAATAAGATTGAGATGGATTATGATATGATTCCCATTAAATATGTGCACCTTTGTTTTGTCTGAGTCACAGGTTGCCTGTAAGCTGCTTAACTTCCATAATTGCACATTTTTATAGAAGTAAAATTGTGATTAAACTCTCTTCCAAGCGTGTTTCACTTGGAAGAGAGTTTAATCACAATAAATGAGTGTGGAACTCCTTAGTATTTATCTTCGTATTGGAAAATTAAAATTTTCCAATTGAAATTATGTATTGTAAATACTGTAAGTAGAATGATTAGGTTTGTAGCAGTGAATGTTGAAAAATTAAACATATACCTATACTGTATAAGGTAAGTAAAAACTAAATTTCAATTACCAATTTTAAAATGGGTGGAATTTGGGTTGATTTTTATTCATTTCATGTAGTGTTTCTTTGCACGTCACAATATTTTTTGTTTTGAAGGAAAAAAATGAATTTGGTATTTAAAAAGCATCACTATATTAATTGAATGAATTATTAATAAAACTTCAAATTGTATAAAAAAGCATAAGTGTCTAGGAATGTAAAAAAACATTGTTTTATTGCAAACATTCTTGTTGCCTAAAAGGAGTGTTTTAAGTCATTTGTTGGTTTGCTCTATTAATCTATAGATGTTCAATGTGATTAAATTATACGTCGATATTTGATGTAGTGAACAAAGGAGTTTTGGTTTCTGCTGAACTAATGTTTTCTGTGTTGCAGCTTGGCTTCTTTCTCTTCCTTTTATTTCTTCACCTTCATTCTAGTGTACATCACCATCTGCAATTAAATTCTTTCTGTTTTTGTCTTAATTCACTCGTTCTCTTCTTCATCACACTTCTTTTATTCTGGATTCTCCATCTGAAGAGCGACTCATTTATGGCAGTAGAAAAGGTACAGACCAGACAGAGCTGTTATGCTGGGAAATATGACTTGAATTAAAAAGCACCTTTCATCACAATTGGAAAAATATGTAATTTCTTAAAAACCTAACATACTACCTCCAGCAAATAGAGACTGGATATATAAGTCATATTTCTGGACATCTGTCTTTCTGTGCATGAAGTTGTTTGCTCTTTGTTCCTTCTCTTTGCTGTCCTAGACTCTAGGCTTTCTTCATTCTTTACCTGTTTATTGCAATCAAAATATGTGCATGAATAGAAGTCATTTAGTTGCTTTGCTTTGCTGTTTTGTTTTGTTACTCTTGCATGCTATAGCAGACTAAGCCTAAATTGAATGCAATTATACCCCTAACTTTAGTCAGTATTCACTCCTACAACTGTTCAAGCAGTTAATTTGTATTTGAAAATATTTAAGTCATCGGTTTGTGTCATTAATGCAGACATTATGTTAAGGTAAGAAATGAGGTTTGTTGTAGGTATGTTTTTTAAGGGGCATCCCTTGTAAGATGACAAGTTGTTTTCTTAAATGGTAATGTTTGGAGTGCACATCACTCAGGTTTTATCTGCAGTTTGCAGTTTGGAAACTTAAAATTGCTCAAGCATTTAGTTTTCTTATTTGAGCTTTGAAGCTTGTCTTTTACAAATTTGGCTTATGTAGATTATTTTTCCTGTTGTGCACATACTACATCCAGGTAGCTACAGGATTTTACCTATTTGACAGCTCCATTTATATCTGGCCTACAATCATCTCCTTTCTATTTTGTATGTTTTAATACAGAGAGAAAATAAATGGAAGGTCAAAAAGTGACTGAGGAAAGTGTGACTTTGGTTTGACTGCTGAATTTCCAGTAAATGAGCTAAGAAATACCACATACCCATGTGTTAAAACTGCAAAGTAACATGGTTCTTTAAGATAATTCACAGAGGAATAAATTGCTAAGAGTGTACATTTGACCCGATCTTGTGGTCATCCTAAGAAGTATTCTGGTAACATAATAGGAACTGAACTATTACACTGCTGATCTGGCATTTGATGGCCAGACATATGATTAAAAACATTTTAATAGCTTCACTGTAACTTGGTTCTAAGTAATTTGAGACAATTTTTTATTTGTTTCTTTTCCTTAGATTATCAGTTGCTATGGTAACTGTATATCAATATGGGTTGTGTCTCTTTGTTATAATATTATTTACCAGCGAACTTTGTGTTAACGTGACCCTAACATGCTTCCCCCACATGTATTAATTGATATTTCAATACGGGTCAAGATCATACCTATCACAACCCTTGTCACCTTTCTTTTGAAGATCTGTGTCAGCTGCCAATATTGTAATTTTATACGTGGGGAGAAACAAAATAAAATTCCAGGAAACTGCGGACAGTATTACAACATTTATTTTATTTTTTTATGTAAACGAACGACAGCAGTTTCATAAAATGAATGTATGTTAAAGTAATTTTGTGCTCAAAGTCTGAAAGAAATTAAAATGGTTTAAACTTTGAATAAAATAGTCTGTTTGAGCTATTTCCATATAAAAGAACATTTGAATTGATATGTCCATCTTAAAAATTTCTGCCTTATTTTAAATTCAATTTTCCTTGCTTCATATGCAAGTAATGAAAAATGTGTTCTTATTTGGCTGACCCTGCACTCTGACCTCAAGCTTCTCTTCTGGTCTTTGTGTCTCATGAAGAGAGAGCTGGGGTATGCGGAAAAAAACAAATTCCTAATACAAGAAATTGTATATGGCCAATAAAGTGATCTTATCTTATCTTAACATGATCTGCTGTATTATTGCTCCCTCTAGAGGTCAGCAGTATCTAGATAGAGTTGACTCATTAATATTGAAAATAGAAGTTAGGTTTTAAGGTTTTTGATCCTTTGATTTCTAACACCGTTCTATTCTAACTCAGGGTCCATTTAAACTGAAAAACATGAAGAAACCATAATTTAATGGGTATTAAAGACATGTTTAATGACAAATGTGTACAGTACAAGTTAAATGGATCAGAATATTTCAGAAAAGTCAAGTGTCTGTTTCACGTTATTTTGTTTTGTGAAACTGACAAGATGTATTACTACAGTACCTTATCAGTATTATTTTTTTAATTACTAATAAATGTCCTATTTATTAGTTTTGTTTTGAAGTCTTACAAAAAATTGTGCCGCCTCCATTTTTACATTGTCTTCTTACTTGTTACCAGTAGTATCCTCTGTACCTGTTTTTGCTTGTATTATTTGCCATGTGAATATGGTAGTTTAAACAGCACCATCAAAGGGCATCTTAGAGAATATCTTAGTGTGCTAGGGAAGCCAGTTAATATTCTTCATCCTACTGAACATGCATTGTGCTTAGCAACACTTGATAGATATATAGTCAAGCTTTTAGTCCACTCCAGTTTAACATCTTTTCATAACTGTTGTTGATAGATGTTAGTAGTTGGCATAGGAGTGAAGTATTAAGGGAAAAAAACAACGGATGATGCAAAATACATACACAAGAAGACAGACATCAGGAAATGAAAACCATACAAAATACTTTAGTCTTACCGGATTGTAAAAAATATCAAAGTGTTGGTTAAGAATATTTTCATGTTTAGAACATTTAAAATGCTTACTGAAAACAGTTCCAATGCCTGTTTTACAAAGAAAGGTTTAAAAACCTTTTCCAACTTCAATGTCGCTAATATTGTCTGGAGTATTGCTTTTATGAAATATGACAAGGTCAGGTGTTAGAATGGCAACAAGAGAAGCTCATATGTATCATGCCTTGAAAAAAATGTTGTATTAGTAATTTCCATTTTTAAAATTAAGTTAATTAAGTAGCCTTTCCCAGCAAATAGCTTTGATCAAATTGATCTGGAATTTATTGGAACCACTAACTGACCACATTTGGTGGCATCAAGAATTTGAAGCTTAACTTGGCACAAAAATTGTCATAAATGTAATGACCTAATGGGAAAGAGAGACAAAGTGCATGTCACCACAAATTTTGAGGAAAACGTGGGTGTCTATGTGTAGGAGAATTTTCTTTAAGTTGCATTCTAAGGGATTTTAAAGACATAAGAGATGCTAATAATGTTTATTGTAATTTAGACTAAGGTTATGGGTACATTTTTATTTAGATTTATAAATTATTATTTTTTTCCAGCTTTGCTGTTTTGTAATGGAAGTAATAAGTACTGTATACATTGAAATGAAGCCCTAGTGCTTGATATGAAAAACACAAATGTCTGATTAATGGGATTACTGTCCATTGATTAGTGATGTCTTGACATTTTTATTAAACTGCACACCAGGGGGACGTATTGGTGGCCACATTGTAACATTGTAATCTGTAGTTTTCTCATGTGAATTGCTGTTATGTGAACTTTGTTTATGCCTCCTGGTGTACTGATTTGCAATGCAGAATGCACTTAAATTGTACATTCACATACAGACATTTATGTTCTTTATATGAAATACCAGCCACAGGTGAAAACCTTGGCAGTGATGACAGTGCTCTGGCAATTAGAAACTTCAGTCTGATTCAGCCTGGTCAGTGTCATCATCGTATTTTCTTCCCCATAACCCAATGTGTAGATATTCTGTATTTCTGAAAGGTAACACTGTAGAACTATTATAATTGCTTGAGGGTTACAAAAGTTATCAGTTTTTTTGTAACCATTATAAAGTTAGTTAGAGATTTGTAACCTTCTTGCAATTCATATTACTGCATGTTTCATTACAGCTTGGATATTTTTCTTTTTTGGGAAGTTTATCTACTTTGTTGAAGCAAAGTAGATGTCAAGTTAAATTTAAATAGTGGGATATTACATAAAAAAACAAATGTAGAATTAAAAAAAACATCTAACCGTCATCTTTTTGTTGCTCACTGCTTAGTGTATTATTTTTAATGAATGTAGGTGATCTAAAGTAATTATCCCACAGAAAGTTTAAATACACAAATAGCATTATTTTGCATGAATCAGATTACAAAAACAGAAATCAAGTTTAATCCAAATATATCAAATTTGTTTTTGCACTTTTACTATTAGCAATACACAAAACACAAAATAAGCTCATACAATGCCTTGTTTTTTCACAGTCCTCAGATGTTGTGTCAATAGAATACATAAATGTATTTGAGTTTTTTGCACATTTCTGAACTTTTAAATCCTTACTGAATTTAAGGCTGATAGAATCTTAAACCTTCTCTTTACAAAGTTTAAACCCAGTCATTACTTTTGGTACCCGCTACCAAATTTAGAAGGGCAGTTGTAATTTTGCAGTTGGCCTGTGTTTTTATTTGGTCTGGATCTAGATTTTGCTGATCTTTACCTAGCTTGTTGAGGATTGGTGAAATAGAACACATTATTTATAGTCGGTACAATGTAGATTGATTTAATTATTAACCATGTGCTTTCTGTTATTTAAATTAAAGGCTGTTTACTTTACCTAGTCTATTATTGACTGTAATGTATTGTAATGTATTGACTGCTACTGTATGTACATACATCCAAGAAAAAAATTCAATGCTGTAATGTATTTATAAGACAGTGTTTTATGTTGCATTCAGTATGTATGGCTCTTTATGTATAGAGATATAAAATTGATTCATGCATTTCTAACTATACCGAAAATATTTCCAAAAGCTTTGCTGCTTTGTTCCACAATTGAAGCTGTTCTCAAATAGTTGTATCTAACCCAGTATTTCCAGCCAGCTATTTTTGATAGTTAGCAGCTAATTGTTTACTTTAAAAATGGCCAATTCCTTATATTGTATTTAAAATATGCACCTGGACTGTTCCAAGAAAACACTGAATTTATTTTACCAAATGTATTTGTCTCACATTTTATTAGTAATATGTGCCATTTGAAAAAAATATCTTTATTTGTCATTTGAGTTGACCATATTATGTGGAAAAACTTAATAGCAATACAGTATAGGACAGGAGCAGAGAACTTCATCATACAAACTGTAACTTAATTAAAGTTTGTCTGCAGTCACAGTTTTTAAGGGCGAAATACCTAGTGATTAATGTAGGTAACAAGGAAGTCACAGTATATTAGGTGTTAGTACTTTTATAAGACACTACTGTGTGTGTTTATGTATATTTATATGAGGTAAATAGTTTTTGTATTTTATGAGTGTTTTAAATAAATTGTTTTCAATGCAAAATATTTTGAACATGTTAAATGAATTGTAAGTATAAGTATCTATCATGAAGCACGAAATACCAGAATGATCTGAACCCATTCTCATGTTTGCTTAATGAGCTATTATGAATTAATAACATTTCTAATTGCTTCAGTGTTGCTTCAGTAACCACAATAATTTTAATCAAATTGTAATTCACAAAAATTGACTTTCACTCCACTATCACACAAATGACAAATGTTTGTGTGTGCTTGTGTAATTACATTATATACAGTACATCCACTACTTGGTATGTTGTTTGCTTATGGCTACTTTACTGGTATAAACAGGTTTAAGAAATTAATTAATACGTTGTGATCTTAATTGGTGAAATGTGGTAGATTTAAGTGGAATTTGTCCTAGGTAGTCTATAGAGTTCCTCCCAATCCCCAGTAGTTTCTGCAGGTTATAGTTGCATAATGCTGCAATAAGTTTTAGTTAATTTATAGACACAGTGATGACAAAAACTCTTCAGACATATATATTATGATACCTTTTCCCATGCTTGAGATGCTTCTTCTTCCCCTGAAAGTAGGTAAAGCTGCAGCCCGAAAAGAGATCATCAGAAATAAGATCCGAGCAATAGGCAAGATGGCCCGGGTATTCTCTGTGCTCAGGTATGACAGTT